ATACCACATACAGATTGAGGGTTATCTTTTATGTGTATGTTCCTTGATGTGCCAAGCAAGACCTGTAAATGCACCTTTCACACAACCTGTTGTGTATTTATTTCTATTTCAGCCATGTTATACTGTTCAGTCTGTTTATACCAGTATTGCACCAAGATAATTTTGAACAAAGAAAATTTATATTACAAGCATTCATAGTAATAAATCCTTAGTGTCTTTATTCAAATTTACAATTTTTATATTCTGTGCCTTGGTGTTGATTTTTAAATTACTTGCTTCATTCTGCCTTATTCCATCCAGCCTGCAGATGGCAGAATTGTTTTATTTGAACAGCAGTTTTAAGGGTTCAGTTTATTTAGTGAGTTCTGGCGGCAGAATGAGAGGTAATTAAATGAATGTTCTAGTAGAGGATAAGCAAATTAATGTTAGGGACAGGAAGCCTCACTAAGAATTTTCTGGGTAATTTATTTCTTCATTTTTCTACCTTTCTAATTTTTGTGTGCTTGGATTATAGTTCTATAAATGGACTAGAGAGCATGACACTTAAGCTATACCATATGTAAGCTGCTGAATTTCTTTAATTAATTTAGTCAGAGTAATGGAGGTTAGACCTGCTTCATATTATAACCATAAAGCAATTTGTTCTGCATTTATATTTTTAGAGTTTGCTTATATTAATTTCTTCTTTAATATGGAGACCTTTTAGAATTCATGTATGTGTCATCAATTTAAATCTTTAATAGCATTTTGTTCTTAGGATTAAAAAAAATTCTTTAGGGAACAAATTAGAATTAGATTACTGTGTCATATTTGAAGTTAAAAGGCAGAATTATGCTGGAGGAAAATTGGAAGAGCATGTTCAAAAAAATACAGAAGTTGCTTAGAGAAACTATGCAAAATTCAGGGATTGATTACTGAGACGGCAGGTAAAGCAGCACAGTGTACAAGCAGTTGTAATTGATCGTATTCTGTTGAGGCAAAAAGAAATTAAGAGATTATGACAGTTCTAATGATTTGTCAGATTTTTAACTTTTAAAATTAGTGTGCTTAAATATAGACTACTAGAAATATATATTACCATAGTTACCTTAACATTTTTTTATAATTTGCAGAACAGCATACTTTACAAGTAAATTACGTATAATTTGTTAGCTTTGTAAAAAGAGACAGAACACGTTACTACAGAAGAATTAAAACTAAATTTTGCATATTTTTGAGTGTTAACTGAAGTATCCTGTAAAATTTACACGTGCTTTATTCTAGTTCTTTGTTCGTTCATGTAGCTGGGGCACTGACATTAGTAGGAAAGACTGTACACTTCAAGACCTTGAGTTTGAAAGGGTAATGTTGGAATTCACTGCTTATTAGAATGAAGAGGGAGGCTGTAATTAATTTCTAATGAAAATTACATTATACAGGTATAGATTAAAATTCCATTCCAGGGATTCTAAAAAAGCTCACACTATCTTAAGAGTTGATAGCAACCATAAAGGGCAGATAATGATTATGTGCAGCACTGTTACTGAAAGCTGATTTTGTGATTATATAATTACTTTCCCATTAGAAACACTTTTTGAAAAGATGCATATAATGTTCCAATCCAAAGAGGATATACTAGAATGAAATATGTACTGTTATTAATAAATTCTCAGTTTTGAAGTTGTTTTTCTAGCATGAAGGCCTGAGGATAGATTGGTTAGAGTAAGCGCAGGACATATTACCCATTTTTGTCTCCATAATAAGTCAGAATAATCAGTCGAGCGAGAGTATGAGTGATGGAGATGTCAAAAATATCTTTCTTTGTTTTTTGTCACCTTCATTTCAGAGTAAGGATAGTGATCTATTACAGAATTTTTATACTTTATTATCATTATTCTCAGAAGCTATTTGAATTCATCCATGAAGGGTGACTATATGAAGGATGATTATGTTTTTTTTCTTTTTAAGATCTGAAAAATTTTGAGGTTCTTGATGTTGTGATTTGAAAAATAATGCTTAATAAATGCAGAGTTTCACAATACAGTGGTTAATGTGGGGACTAATGGAAATGTGAGGGTCTCTTAGGTGAAAGATAATATTAGATAGAATCATAAAATAAATATGAATTGTATCATGGCAGCTTAACCGAAGTATAAAAATATTGAAGAGAGATTTTGTTTTGAGAGAATTGATTTAGTATTTATCATAAATTAGAATCTGGATGTACTGCAGAATCACTGTGGTCCATTTATTTTGCTGCTTTGAAGTAGAACTCTGATAGTATATGTATATAATTATGAAATGTCATAATCCCCAGCTTGAACTTTCTGATAGAAGCAAGATATTATAACTTCTTTTTCAAAGCTGTGCTTTTCAAAAAGAGGCTGGCTTCTGCCATGATACTTTCTAGAAGGTAGGGATCTTTTTGCCTTAAAAAAAAAATAAGATTCACTATGTCACGATGAATCACTTTGTCACTATGAATTTTTTTTGAAAAGTAAGTTTTGAGAGTTGAGGTGGTTCTACTTCTTTTGTGTGTGTGGGGATACTGGGAATTGAACCCAGGGCCTTTGCACTGAGCTGCACCCTATCCCTCTTGCCATTATTATTTTTTGAGAATAGGTCTTGACAAGTCACTAAGTTTTCCAGCCCAGTAATAGGCACATAGCATAGTCTTGACAATTGAAAGATCATTTTATTATATCAAAATGTTTTCTATGTTAACCTTTGTGCTCTTTTTAAGAAAAAGTATTAAATTTTCAAATATAAGATTATTATGGTTTGAATTTGGAGTTGCATCACTAATGTTACAGTTTTGTGTGTGTGTGTGTGTGTGTGTGTGTGTGTGTGTGTGTGTGTGTTTTCCCTAAGCTCATTTTTAAAATTGTAGTTCACTCAAGAATTTGGTCTTCCAGTAGTACACTGATACATTGACATTATACATAGTAGTTTGTTATTTTGTACCATCTAATGTCTTACTTAATGTGCCTATTTTAGCCAAGAATTTATTTTACTAAGGAAAATGCAAACATTTTTAAAGCTATAATCTAATTGTGATATACCATCCAACTAGAGGTATCTTGACAATTAAAATTGTTGCAGTGATGATTGTTGAGAGTCATAGTAGACAGGAGTTGGATGGCCTGTGTATTCTTTTCTGAAGTAGTGACATGTTTTAATAGTACATTAGGAGATGGGAGACTCACTATAGCTATTTTTCCTTTCATGTTTCTAATATATATTATTAAAGATTGTCTGTTCTCTTCTTCATTTGAATTATTCATTGTCAGTAGTGAAAGGTGGTTTCTTGGGCCGGGGATTTGGTTTCTTCATACTAGAATTCTATACATTCTATACCCCCTCAAAGGTTTCTTCATACTAGAATTCTATACATTCAAGGTAGGGAAAGGTTTTGCTTGAATGTTTTATTAGCTGTATTAAAAATGCATACGTGGAGATAGTATGTCTGGTTGACTGTGTTTGAGTTTCTGGGAAAGTAGACTGCAAATAGCCTGTGATTCATGTTCCATATTTGTGAGGAACACTTGAGAGAGGCTGGCTGGGTGCTGTCCTAATGCTGGTTAGGTTGAAGGTAACCTAGAACGTAACTATTGGTGAGCTCCCCAGCAAGCCTCGGATTTGGGCTCTGGGCTTTTTGTGTCGGCAGAGTTTGTGTATACAAAGAAAGCTCACATAAGTGAATTGGTGCTTCACACTCAGGAGCCCCTGATGGAAAGAATAGAGAAAAGTGGACTGTGTGTCAGTCTGCCTTTGAAAGACAGGTTAATTGATGCCCAGTTCATAGAAGCTGAGAAAAATGCCTGCAGGCTTCCTGTAGATGGAAGGAAGTTCTTAGAAATTGAAGACAGCTGAGGCAGGTACATACGCTTTTCTCCAGGCTTTTAGAAAGGAGTGAAGGGAAAGTGCAGAGTGGACAGGAGCTTTCTTCTAACTGTGTGTACTATATTTAAAAGGAATAGAAGTGCCTTTAATATGAAGTCATAGGAGTTCTCCATTTCAAATTACAGTAAAATTGGTTCAGTTTCCCCAAGGAAATCTTTAACCTCATTTAACATTAGTGTTAAATTATCATATTCTTAGCCTTAAAATACTAACAGACAAAAAAGAAACTCCATTCTGTCATTTTCTGCCTTTTAAATAGATTAGCTATGCTACAGTGTCTTACTTGTTTGGGTCTTGAAAGTTGAGTAAGTTGAGGAGAGAACAGGTTCTGAAAAGACGTCAGACAATGCGATTTGTTGCCATGGTATTTTATGAGTATAAACTTTATATAAATTGTAATCTAAAAGCTGGGAGCTGTTTGAATTAGTCCTAGACTGTGGATGACAATTGGGAAGCCCAGCTGTAGAGATATATAATGTCTCCTTTGGAGGAAAGGAAAGAGTAGTAATGTTTCATTGAGAAATCTCAAGGTTGAGGTGATACCTGCCTTTTCGGATCCCCAGTTGAGGGAGCAAAATCTGGTATCATTTAAACCCCTCGTGTCCTCTTGCTTGAATATCTTTGACAAAGCAAACTTGTCCTTTCATATGTACTCACAGGAATTTTTGAATATTGCATAGTATAATATACAAGAAAATAAAAACAGTTTCTTAAACTCAGATCTTGATTATTCTGCTATAGGTCATGAGAACCCTGTTTTGTTCTTCTTGGTTTCTTATTTGTCTTTTCTTTGGGTCATTTTATCGAAATATTTTTTGGAGAGACAAGCAGGAAAGGAGGAGACAAATCTAAATCAGATTTTCTTTTTCTGATTTTTTTTTTAACTTGTTGCACTTAGCATCAAACTATGCATAGAAGATTGGGGAACCACAAAAAACAAGCTGAAAGTATTCCAAAAAAGAGTTTTGTTAAAAACAAAGCGGACATTTTAATTCCTCTGTAGCATTTACTGGACGCTTAGTTGTACTAATATTGATGCTCTATGAGCTACTCTTCGTGTGTGTGTGTGTGTGTGTGTGTATGTGTGTGTGTCTAACCTTTTCTTTTTTCAATTTCAGTTGATCCTATTAAGATACTAATGCCATCACTGTCTCCTACAATGGAAGAAGGAAACATTGTGAAGTGGTTAAAAAAGGAAGGTGAGCAAGTACATTACTGATGTTTTTTGTGCTTTGTTATTTGACCATTTTCACTTTTTTAATGTGTTATATTGTAAAATGCATGATATAAATAAAATAAATTGTATTTCTTTGATAGTTAATGTGAACTTGTTTGAATAAAAATGTCCTATGTTAATGGAACAAAGTTTTCTGGGTTTGCCCTGTATCTCTTTTAACAAGGTCAGTATGGTACAATATTTGAAGGGCTTTTTCTTCCAAATTTTAGTCTTTCTAGCTTTTACTTTCAGCATCATCAATGTAATTCCTTAGTTTATAACTATCAAGTATGTGTGTGTATGTGTGTGTTTCTGTGTGTGTGTGTTTTCTTGGAGCTGAGCAATTTGATTATAAATTTCATTGGAAAGAGCAAACGACTAAGCATAATGAAGGGTGCCCCTAAAGGAAGGACAGTAGAGGAGAGGCTGGTAGCCATTAGTTATTGAGACATAATATTAAGGCTCTAAAATTAAAACTGAGATTGGTGCTTTAAAAGACAGACTAATGAAACTGCGTAGAAAATGAGAAGTAGATGCACATGGATTTTAGTGTTTAATGAAGACAATACTAGATTTGTTGTTTCTGTAATGCCAAGGATAAATTACACATGAATTAGATACTTGACAACCCAAAAACAAAACCATATACTATAAATACTGGTAAAAATTTGATGAATTTTACTGAATCTGGAAGTAGAATGAACATTATATAACTCAGAATGTAGATACAATTAGGGGAAGATTGATAAATTTGGTAATAAATATAATAACTTTTCTGTAGCTGAAAATGACAAATTGAAAGAGTATTTGTAGTTTATAAGAATAAGACTATTAGAAATACTGGGAAGATAAATGAACAGATAGTTTACAGAAAAATGGTAAATAGCTCTTATACAAAGAAAGGGATGCTTACCTTTTGTATATACTGATGGTACTAGAATCATGCAAAATACCACACTGAGATATTTCTTACGATCATATGACACAAATTAAAAGTTTGACAAATTCTTCTGTTGTTGGTGTGGCTGTGGAGGGAAGTAGGCACTCTGAAATATCGCTAGAAGAAATGCGAAATAGTATAAACCTTGCGGGGGGAAATGATACTATCTAGAAAATATTAAATTTTTGTTCACCTTTGTCCCAGAAACTCTACTTCCAGGGATCTGGGAAGGTTTCTATTTCAAATGTTAGTTAACTTGACTATATATTTGTAGTAGGTTGTAACTGAAGGACAAAGTAGGTCCCTCAACAACAACAAAATAATGAAAATGATTATTACAGTAATCATATAATGGTGGTTATTTTGGTAATGTTAAGCTAAGTCTTTTATTTGTATTATGGAGTAAAACAAATGAGGGGTTGAGATATCATTGAAACCTGGACTACTGGTGTAGTTTAAAGGAGAAACAAATAAAAGATAGCTGAGGTTAACGAAAGACTCTTTGATGGCAGTTTTTTCTGTCTTTCCCTGGCAGTGTCTGGAAAGAAGGACCAATCTAGTGGTAGTGAATACCTGCTGTCCATACTGTAGTATCAAAGTACACCAGTTCCCACTAAAGTGGAGGAAGGCTCTGGGAAGACTGGCTACTTCCAGGTCTTGAGCCTGCATATTAGCTTGGAGTACCTTGTCAGCTCAGAAAGGAAGGAAGGTAGCAGAAATTCCCAAAGGCATCTTACAGGACTTAGGAGCTGAAGGTAGGACCGTTTCAGGACCAATAAGGATAATAACTAGTGTTTGAAATATACATTAAGTATATTTACGCCTTAAGTTCACAATAATACTAAAGAAAAACAGACTATTAATAAGTGGTCAGCTTTGGAGAATGCCAGGAAATTTAACTCACTTTGAAAACTGGTAATAAATGAAAAGACTCAAGCGTTTTTTTTCCTCTCTTTCCTATATGGATATATTACCTTTCCTCATCTACTTTTGTGTATATTTGAAATTTTTGTAATATATTTTAAAAAGTTGTACATACTGTCTTGGGGATATAATTTGAGATAGAAACTACTCTTTACTCAGCTTTTTTTTCCTTCCCCTGGTATCAGGGATTGAAATCAGTACCTTCCCACTGAGCTGAACTCTCAGCACTTTTTATTTTGAGATAGGGTGTCACTAAGTTAATAAGTTGCTCAGGCTAGAATATGGGATCCTCTTACCTCAGCCTCTCAGAGTGCTAGGATTATAGGCATGTACTGCCTACCATACTTGTCTTTTCCCTAGCATTTTATAAGCACAGAAAAATTTGGATGTTAATGTTACCTACACATTTACCATGGGGTCATAATTCATATGTCTTGCTGCTGGACAGCTTCAACCACTGGTGGTACATACATGACTATCCCATCAGTTGTTTTTTAAAAATTAATTGTATTAGTCAAAGGACTGAAAGAAGTGGTTAGATCCATTTGTAGCACTGATGGTATAAGCTGCCCAATGGGACAGCCACACAAATGAGGTAGTATTTGAGTTGATCTTTGTAGAATAAATGGGCCTTTCAAAAGAGCCAGAAAGAAGGTCATTCCAAGTAATGTAAATATTATGGACACAGTCTTTGAAGGAGGATGTCATGAGACAAACTATGACAACTGCAGGTAGTTCCAGCTGCATTGAGAGCATAGTGCACGAGAAGGATCTAGAACGCCAGTGTTGACTTTTCAGTTCGGTCTGTGAAGGTCTTATCCTAGAGCCAAGATACAGGCAGGAAGTGTCTTACTCATGCTTTCCCGACCCCTGTTAGTAACATTGGATTAAATGGAACAGACCCGAGAGTAGGCTATCAAGGCCTAGCTATATTCAGTTTAAGTAGCCTTCTTTGCATCCTTTCATTTGAAAAACCAAAACTGAGGACTTCTAGTCATTAAGGTCATCAGTAGCAGAAGGGTAAGACTTCTCATCTCTACTGGATATCATATTATTCAAGAAGTCCTTTAAATTAAGTTGCACTTAAATGCAGAAAAGGGGAATCTCCAAGTGTCAGCGGCACCTGGACCCGTGAATGGGAAGTAAAGCCACATTCACCATTCAGCCTGAGCTGGATGGCTGGGCCTGCTGAAATGGGGAACTGAGGATTAATTAGAGGGGTTGGAACGGTAGAGACAGAGAAAGGGAAATAAAGAATTAGGTTCAGCTTTGGTTGTGGTGAAATTTGAGATGCTTATTAAATAGACATTCGAGGGAAGATGTCTAGTTGGTTGTTGAAGTTAAGGAGTGAAGTCTGACTTGAAGATAAGAAATTTGAGAGTCATAAGCATATGCATGGAATTCCGTGCCGCATAATAACAAACACTTTTTTTTTTTTTAACACTTTGGATCTATGTAGAATAATAATGCCTATTCCTTTGAAAATTTTCTCTTGTGGACTTTTCCTCATCAGGCTTTTGAGTTCAAATTTATAGTATGTCCATTATCTGAGAATCCACAGGTAGAAGTAAAATAGCCCTGGACTGATAATTCCCCTGGGTTACCTGGAAGAAGCCATTATTCTGGAAGGGCATAGCTCCTAATCCAAGCCACATGGATCCAAGCTCCTAATCCAAGCCCAAATAAAGTCCCACTTACCAAGAGTCGTAATCCCAGACTAACTTAATAATGCACCCAGAAACAGTCTCTTAGGAACAAATGTCAATAGGCATAGCAAGCAGTGACTAGACCTACCAGAACTTCCCCTAGGGAATTACTTGATAAATAAAAATGTAATGAGAAAACCAGACACTATACAGAATGTCTAGGCAACTTTAAAACAAGACAAATGGGACTGCTAGTAATGAAAAAATATTGTCTCTGAAAAGACAACATTTAAGGTTGGGTGGAAGTGTGATTAGACATGACTGAACAAAGAATTTGTGACCTGAAGAATACCCTGAAGGAATTAGCTTGCAAGCAGCACTGAGGGAGAAAGCAGTGGGGAACATATGAAAGGGAAGTTAACACGGGAAGGAGAAAACAGGAATCATCCAGTAATCCAAAATGAGGAGATGAAGAAGAGATAATAGTCAAAGAAAAAGTGGCAGAGTTTTCTAGAATTTAGAGTTCCATACCAGAAAGAGTTAGTGCTTCTCTAGGCAGCACTTTGAACAATTGGCTAGGCTTCGATAGAAAGTAAGTAATAAAACAATTATTAGCATCAAAGAAAGTTTGATCTTTATGAATAATATAATCAATTTTAATCTAATTTTAGGTTTCTTTTCCTTAATAAATTATAGAGCTTTGGCTGTTTCTGTATTAAGTACAACAGGGTTTTGGCATCTTTAAATAATGATTCAGACCCAGAACAGTCCTTTGGGGATCTTTTTTAAAAGATTAAATTTCTTCACACTTTGCAGATTTATAGGCAGATAGTAAGGAATACTCTTTAGATCGCATTTATCTCTCAGACTTTCAGCTTCCTGGCAGTCTGAATAAGTTATCCACAGCCATTAGTATATGAAGAGTATGATTAAGAGCAGGAAGACACATGGTCTCATCACTGTGATCTTTTTTCCTTTTGATGATAATGTGCTATTTTCATGTAGGACAGGCCAAGATTTGAAGCTCCTGGAGCATATTTCCCTGAAGGTTGTTCTTAAAAGTCTGTGTTCTGCCAACTGAATGGAAAAGTCTGTTTGCCAATACATTGTTAAATAAGAGCAGTCTTAGTTCTTGGTTTTATTAATTCACTAAGTTCTTTTTATAACTGGTCACTTTTCTGATTTAATCGTTTTCTTTTCAGTATAATTTGCTTCTTTTCACTAACATTTATATACTGTACACCTGAATATGATTGGCTATGTCTAAATATGCCTGGTGCTTCAGGCATTTATGATAACTTGATTCATTTTGTTTTGAAAACAAATTCATATTTTGACGGCAATACTTTTAAGTTAGCTTTTTCTCTTAAGTATATATTTTAATCTTATAATCTGTGAATTTAAAACAATTACAAGATTGAAATTTATCATGAAAAAGAATAATTTATTTAATTATGAACCTAGTTTATAATT